CAAGTCAAGGCTCTCTGGTTTCAGATTAAAGGTACATTTTGAAGCAAAATATTTGCTTCATGCCCATGGAAGTGTCCTTCGAAGATCATCGGCACAGAAGTGCGCCAAGCACGCAATAGAACTTGCAGGGTCATCGTCCTTCACTCTATTTTCGTATATGGTTCTTCTTGACGTACTTTGTGTTCTTGATTTCTTCACATACTTCTAAGATTTTGAGATCTGATGGTAGTTAATGTTGGACCTAAAATGAGAGTATATTTACATTTAAACAGACGTCATTTCAGCGCATCAACCATGTTAAATTTACCAAAGCAGAGATACTGCGTTTCCTTCACTATATCCTAGAAAGCACTGCATCGTTCAGGCTTATTTTTCGCAGCTGAGAAGCTGTTTTACTTCATTTCTCTGCTAAATACTCTCAATTTGACATTACACGGGACTTCAGAGACCCCTTAAACTATCGGAAAGACGCCCAACTCGACTGGTTGCCGAGCCGTTCGAAATCCGAAGAATTTGGCCGCAAGTATACAAAATGGCGGCATTTCCTGGTACTTCCGGTGACCTCATCGTTGTTCTGACATTGCTAATTCGCATTCGAAGGCAAAGCTCAGCGCGCTCTATCTGCTCGTGGTGGGCGCAATTTGAACCACTCCGGAGGTCCGTGGCGACTAACCCCAACACAATTGTCACTCTCTTATTTGCTTTGTCACTTTAAAATCACTCTCCAGTACAAAGATCTAAGTCACCGTTATTGTGAAAATGCCTTTTACTTAACCCAGTTTTAACCTCTTTGCGGTTTTTGACGCTTTCAAGTCTAGAGGTCCATGGTGACGTCACAGCCGACTGTGTCGCGCTCTGACGCCTTCGAATGCGATTAAATTCCCAGACCTCGAATTATGCGGAAACACGGGCGGCAGGAGCAAAGGCCACTTTTACAGCAGAATGTCCTGCTACGCGACCGTGTGGCAGCCAAATGAGGTATTTTGCGATAGTGAAGAAGAGAAAGAAGAAGATGCGGCGGTGGGGGTAAAACATCACAAACCCTCATTTGTTTGGCGGCCATGATGGCCCCCACCCACCCCCGCCCCGCAAGCAGATGCACTGCCTAAACAAATGAGTGTTTTTTATGTTCTTTTATGTTCTTCTTCTTTCTCTTCTTCACTATCGCAAAATACCTCATTGGCTGCTACACGCCCGCGTAGCAGGCACCTTTTTGCCGTGTAGCCTAGTCTCGCGCAGGATGCCCCTTGTCCCGCCCACAGTGGAGTGACTGGCACGAGGGTAGGTGGAGCGAATCCTGCCTGCAGGTCCGACTAGACAACCCATCGTACGCAGGCGTATTCAGTAGGCGACATGCCCGTTAGAAAAGGCAATAACAGCGGAGCGATTCTCACGTTTCGGGGTAGTTTTGGCGTCTCTGATTCGCCGAAAGTGAGAAATATCCAATTAAGTTTTTCTGATTATTGGGGTCCTGTGTGATACTAGAGTTATGGCAATGGTATTTATAGAAAAGACCTTGTACTATCTTCCTAAAAACATGAGCCAAAAGGTATTCCCATACGTTTTAGTGGGTGTTTTGATCACGGAAATTACGTTATCACGGAAGTTACAAAGTGTGAAAATCGGCTTTAACGGCTGACTCGGGCTTGCTGTGGCTTACAAGTCGTTCCAGGGTCAAATGATACTCTAAGCCCGACATTTCAGCGGAAAATTTTTTCACCTAGTGCTGCTGCAACATTGGGTAAAGGGTGCCACGGAAGTTACAGGTAATTGTTGATACACGTCATTTTATAATGCTCTAGCCCGCTTTGAGACCGTGTACAGCATCTTAGATTTCCGCGACCCATGCAATTCTATCCCAGGGACTCCACTTTGATAGCTTGTGTCATGGAAAGTTAAAAGTTTGGCTTGGGGAGAAGTCCAGAGCTGCCTTTTCGAAATTTGTGTAGTGAAATTCAATATACGGAGGACATTTTTCGTTGCAGCATAAGTACCTTCGAAAGAAGTCTGGCGTACTGGTCTTCGGTTGAAATTAGCTCGAGACATGCCAAGCTTCGAATCCCCATCGACAGTTGGCAGCATTTTCGAACCACACCGCCACACTGGGGGCGGAAAGTTCGAGTATGTTCTGTTTGGACAATCACGGAAGTTACATTTGGGGTATTCCAAACGCTACGTAGACCCATCCAACGAACGTGAACTTTTCCAAATGTGTGCGTTTAGTGGGCAATGGCCCTCCCTAACATCAGAAACAAACCCCATGTCGATATCTGCGCTCGTTTGGGCACAAGAGTCAGAAGAAACGAAACTACCCCGAAACGTGAGAATCGCTCAGCGGTGCACTGGAGGCCATACGCGGCCATACGCCGTATGGTCCAGAACAATTTTTCGGCTGTGCGTATGGTCCAGAACATTTTCCCCGCCCATACGCTCATTTATGGCCATACGCTGCCCATACGCTCGACTTTCGGGGCCCAGGCGGGCCATTGTTGGGTTTCCGAGACACCGCGCGGCGCGGCGGCGCTTCGTTTCGGCGCTTTTTCACACCGCTGGAACCCGTTGAAGGAAAAAAATGAGTAACAAGCGTAAGGACTCGACACCGCCCCCTCCACCAGCACCAAAGGCTCCCCGTGTTCAGGTAACTGCTCATCAACGCTTGAGATAAGCGGACTTTGAGCGTGGGAAACTTACTTAAAAGAAAATTGGACACAGGGGATGCCTTCAATGCGGAATTTCCTTCAACGGGTTCCGGCCGCCGGCCCAGAGATACCCCCTGCCCCCGCCCCCGAGCCTGGTCCCGATCACCTTGCCCCTCAAACTGACAAGTCCATCCCTCCCACCGGCGCGGTAAGTCTCAGCACCTTACACAGAAAAAAAACATTTTTCGCCAAGGTATTTACCTTGAAAAAATGTTTTTGTGTGTGCAGGCTTTGAGAACTGAGCAGCCATCGGTCGGGGAGAGGCCAGCGATTTACACTGTTAGCCAATGGATGGAGCAAAGAGGCTCTTATCCGTGGATTGGCTGCCGGAACGGGAAGTTGGGTTGCTCCACATGCGAAAGTGTCAGTGATGCAAAGCTATCTCTTGAGACACACGATCTTAGCCGAGGGAAAGGGGTCGTCCTCAGCAAAGAGTGGTCTGGCTTCGCTGTAATACCGTCTCAGGGGGGTGACCGTAAAAATCAGCTGGCCTCTCTAAGGAACAAGATCAAGGTGCACGGTGACTCCAAGGCTCATCAAGTTTGTGTGTCAATAGTACGTCAGAAGAGCAAAAAAGTTATCGAGACGCAAATACGGGACATGGGCGCGGCAGCAAATGAAGCTACTGTCCGTCTGATGCGGACCGCGTACTACGTGGCTAAACAAGACCGTCCGTACACTGACTTCGAAGATTTGGTCGAGTTGCAGCAAGTGAATGGCGTCAACTTAGGCACAACTTTGCACAGTAGGATGACGTGTACAAGAATGATTGATACTGTCAGTAAGGAAATGAGAAGGCGAATTGTAGAATGGTCCAGAACAAAGTTACCAGTGCACCGCTGGGCAATAAGGACGAGAAACTTAATTTGAGTGTCATCAGATGGGACAACCTCAAACACCAAAGCGTAAACCCCAACAGCAGAGCGCAGAGGCGCGCGCGTGTGGCGCGAGAGTAGGATAAAGGTGAAAAGTGGGTATGCAGAGGTCCACAAGAATCACTCGTTCTCCGAAGCTAAAAAAAAATGCTTTCTGTGGTTAGTCCTTTTTATTAAGAAGGTATTGAGGTAAATTTTAAGCCAAACCCCATCCAATTTGGTTCAGGTACTACATAGTTTGCATCATTTTGAAGAATTGCCTCAAAATTATGAAAAATAAAAAACTGACCTACAACCTTTGGACAGGTTATGCATTTTTTTTTTTTATTTTTCATCCTCTTTCCAACGGTATATCCATTTAGCCTCTACAAAGAATACTTTCGGAGATATTCTCGAGTTTATCGGCGTGACTCTTGATCGGCGTGAATATCGTGTCACGCCAATGTTTGGCCTGCCTTTTTGTCACGCCATAATTTGTCCATGTGTCCGACCATTACGTTTTCAATGTGCGTTTCACGAATTTCATGCGCAACAACGCTTAGTTTTTCTACGCGCCAATGCACGAAATTAAACATGCACTTCGTAACGCACAAATTTGTGCATTTTCAAACACATGCACAGTTTCGTGCATAGTTTGTGCACAAAAAACTACAAAGTAATTTAGTGTGCGTGACATCTCGTTAAAACTAATGTGACGTAAATGTCACGTTCCTAATACGTTTGGATGTGATTCGGCCATAAATTAGCTCATGCACATTCAACGAATGTGACACAATGCTCAAAGGAACGTGACACTTTGTCACATTCGCCAGCGTGGGCGTCACACACTAAATTTTATGTACAATTTTGTACGAGACATCACAACTTTTTGGTCACACGAAATTTTCGTA